GATGGGTATTAAAGAGGGCACTGAATGGAGCACTGGGTGTTATATGCAAACAATGAATCATGGAACACTATATCAAAAACTAATGATGTAATGTAGGGTGATTAACATAACATAATAAAAAAAAAAATCAAGTACGTAAGAGTATACTTAGTAGAGAGATAAGGCAGGAATTCTGAAAGTAGTAAGTCAACAACTCCTATTTGAGAAACCCTGTTCTAAGCGAGGGAATGTCACAAGAATCAGTACTGCTCTCCAACATGTTTCACATGCATCTGACATCTCAGGTGTTCAGGCCATGGAGGGACACCATAACCTATTGTCCAGTTAAGAGAAAACAGATGACTCTCCAAAATTCAAAGTCTTAATTTACTTAATATCGGAAGCGAATTTAAGTCCCACTTAATTGCTACTATTACCTTCATGGAAATATCTGGGGTTTAATTACTTCATAAATTAGAACAAATACTACTGATTTATCTTTAGGCCCATTTCCAGCATGGTTTGGATAGGAAGTAAAGGAAGTTGTCTTTTACTGGGATTCATACAGAAATACAAATAAAGTGAGCAATGGGATGAAGTCAAGGAAGGAATTCTGAAAACTGCAAGCCTATGTCTGACAAGTCCACTACTATGAAAAGGTTAATGCAGTGTTTTGCAAGCTGTGATCCATAGGTCTGCAGAATCACTCAGGATGCTTACTAAAAATGCTGATTCTTGGGCCCCATCACATTCTTACCAAATTTAATGAGAACACAGGAAGATGCTTGTCTAGTGAGCTTACCAGGTGCTTCTTATTCATAGGTTGATTACTACTGACTTCATGTACTTTTCAAAACCTTGCCAAAAGTCAAGTCAAACCGCGTCACAAATGTTAACCTGAGAAAGAGTTTGTTTGGCTTTAAGCAGTTCATTTCACTCCACTTCTGTGGAAATTTCGTCTGTCTCACACTTACTGTCTAGTCAGTGTCTCCTGAAACTATATCCTAAGGTCATCTAAAATGCACAGGTGTACTAAAAGAGGTGCTTTTATGAGGGAACCTCCGGCTGATTATTCCAGAAGGCAAACCACTTATAAAGAGACCAAGAGGAAAAACCAAGAGGTCTATCTGGTAACTGTTTTCAAGAACATTTAACCACTAACTATATAGTAAGAGTAATAAACTGTTGCCCATGTTTCTTCTGTGTGGCAAGCAAACCCCACTCTAGTAGAGGAAAAGGAACAAGCATTCTAGAAAAGGAACAATACTGATTTAATAATATGTCCATTCTACTGTAACATGCTATTCTACCCAAATTATATCTAATGTGTCAGACTACGTCTAAATTTGTTCTTGCATGTATTTCAATAATAAATATCTAATAGTTACATTAAACTAAAATACCTTCATATTACTAAGCAACCAAGCTATTCAAAATGAAATTACATCTAGGTTTTATTCATGAATTGAAACCTTTCTAACACACCCTATTCCTGGATGGAAAAATTCAGTATTACAAAGGTGTCAATTCTCTCCTTAATTAACATACATATTTCAATATGATTTCCTACAAAATAACAATGAGCTTTCTTATTTGAGGAAATAATAAAATTTATCTAACAAAACAGAATATCCAGAGAAATTATAAAAAGAAAGTTAATAAGGAAGATCATCACCATCTAGTATTAAAACATTTTATAATAGTATTCAAAACTAACAGAGTACCTCAGAAATAATGATAGCTAATACTTAATAAACACTCATTAAGTTAACTATATGTGTCTTCAGTAATTTATCATCATAAACTATTCTGTAAAGTAAATACTACTGTTATATCATTTTACAGATGAGGAAACTGAGGCAGAAGGAGATTAAATAACTTGCCTAAGGGTACACAGATATTAAAGGAGTCAGGATGTGAACCTAGATAACCTAGTTCTACATCATGCGTCCCTAACCACCACCATATGATGTACAACACTGCTTCTCTTAGACTTCAATACATGATGAATTGAATATATAAGGGTACCACTTCAAAATATTTGAGAACAATGGCTAATTTAATAGTGTTAAGACAAATAACTAGCCATTTGTTGGGGTTTTTTTTAAGTTGATTCCCAATATATCACTCCTTTCACAAAAGTAATTTTAAAGATTTACTTATTTATTTGAGAGAGAGAGTACAAGCAAGAGCACAAGTGGGAGGGGCAGAGGGAGAGAGAATCTCAAGCAGACTCTGCACTGAGTGTGGAGCCCGACTCAGGGCTCTATCTTATGACCCCGAGATCATGACCTGAGCCGAAACCAAGAGTTGGATGCTTAATTGACTGCGCCATCCAGGTGCACCTCACAAAAGTGATTTTAGATGAATCAAATACTTAAATGTAAAGGACTGAAATCATAAGAAGAAATATTTTTAAAAAACACAAAAGGACTGGGGCGCCTGGGTGGCTCAGACGGTTAAGTGTCTGCCTTCAGCTCAGGTCATGATCCCAGGGTGCTGGGATTGAGCCCCACATCGGGCTCCCTGCTCGGCGGGAAGCCTGCTTCTCCCTCTCCTGCTCCCCCTGCTTGTGTTCCCTCTCTCGCTGTGTCTCTATCTGTCAAATAAATAAATAAATCTTTAAAAAAAAAAACAGAAAAGGACTTTCTAAAACATTAAATTCACAGGCCATAAAAATAAAAGCTGATCAATTCAACATGATAATTTAAGATGCATGAATGGCAAGCAAAGAAATACACACTAACTCAAAAAAAGTCAAATAGGAAAAACAGTACTTGTAACATGTAACATGCAAAAGGCTAATTTCATTAATCTACAAAGACCCCCATACGTTAATAAGAAAAATGACAACTCAAAAAAAAAAAAAAAACCAGAATTTCATGGCACATGAATTATATTTCAATTTTTGAAAAAACTGGCAAAGGACATCAAAAAGCAATTCACAGAAACATATACACAAGTAGTAAATGAACATATCAAAATATGATCATCTTCATTTACATTTAATGATGTGAAAATTAATTCAGGAGATAAAATTTCCCAACTTCAAATGGACAAAAACTAGTAAGTTCAATAATACCTAGATTTTGCACCGAAAAAAATTAGGGCTTCTTTCAGAGATTCCAGTTCCGGGGTGGAAAATTGCCAAATGAGCCTGAAATAGCTTGTCCACCAGAAAGCAAAGAAGCTACCAATGACTACTGGAGTACTGTCAAAAAAACATGGGATCAGCTTGAAGGGACTCTTATGACCAAAAATGGGGAGTTTTTGAGGATTATTAAGAGTAAAGACAGCAATTAATCGAAACATTCCAGAAATGTTTAAGACTAAAAGTTCATGACAAAACTTAAAAACAAAAAGAAAAATAAAATTGATCATCAAATACACAAGTTACCAGGACACCAACGCATTCTTAAAATTGGTAAAGGGGAAAAAAATTGAACATTCACCTGTCTTTCCTACATGAACTGTATACCAAGGTAACTCAATACTTGAGAAAAGACCATGTTCTTTAGTGGAAAATTCCAATTAATAAACACAGAAAAGAATAATAAAATATCACCAATTCTTGGGGCGCCTGGGCAGCTCAGTCAGTTGGGTGTCTGCCTTGGGCTCAGGTCATATCGGGCTCCCTGCTCAGTGGGATGTCTGCTCCTCCCTCTCCCTCTGCCACTACCCCTGCCTGTGCTCTTGCTCTCTTTCAAATAAATAAATAAAATTAAAAAATATATATATATCACCAATTCTCTAAAAGTAGTGATTCTTCTGGGAAAGAGAAAAAATACCCTTCAGGATTATGCTTTCGGTTTTTTTACAGTTAGCTTCTATTATCTGTAAATTTTTAAAAACTGAGTTGACAACTTTCTATTATAATCATTATTAGCAAATTTGTGCTTTCAAACCCCACTTATTGTCCTGTCACTATTCTGAGAAAGCAAAAAAAATTCTATTAACAATGAAGTTACAGTATACATCAAAGGGCCATCTTGCTTTTTCTAGCAAGATTCTAGTTTCTAATGACTATTTTTAAATAGAAATCACATTACCAATCACTAACAGTAAGTTTCTTAATTAATCTATCTGCATATCCCATAGGAAATATGTGTCAAATTCAGTCTCAAGAATGAAGGAATCATATGTACCACATAGGTTTTCACTTCCTACGACAAACAGAATCAGACTGGGTATAAACTATTCAAGCTCTCCCAAAAAGAAAAGCTCTCCCAACACTCCTATAGAGAAGACAAAAATGCTTACCCATATTTTCCAAAGAGTGAAACTGTTGTTCCACCCACAGGCACTGCCTTCCCTGGTCCATACACATCCCATACTGTGAGGGCCACCTGGGCATTCCTGGGCAGGTCAGGGTACTTTACCGGAAGTTTCAGCCATTCATTCCAGCTATGGGAACAAAGTCAACAAAAACATAACACTAAGGAAATAAAATGTGTGTGTGTGTGGTGTGTGTGTGTGTATATAAACTTCCTTTTAAATTAACAAACCATATAAGATCTGCTCAGAGAAAATGTCCCAAAAGATTAGGTTAATACTGCAAAAAATGTGGCACTTCCCTTAATTTTGATGTAGGCAACCTCAAGTTTAAATACAGAACACATGAAAAAAATTTTTGAAAAACCAAGCTTACAGAAATTAACACTGGTAAATTCTTAAATCAAGAAATTCAGGAGGCGCCTGGGTGGCGCAGTGGGTTAAGTGTCTGCCTTCAGCTCAGGTCATGATCCCAGGGTCCTGAGATCGAGCCCTACGTCGGGCTCCCTGCTCAGCGGGGAGCCTGCTTCTCCTGCTCCCTCTGCCTCTCTCTCCCTGCCCCGCTCGTGCTCTCGCTCTCTCTCTCTTTCTTTCTCTCACTCAAATAAATAAATAAAATCTTTAAAAGAAAAAAAGAAAGAAAAGAAATTCAGACAGTATCACTAAGACACAAGGAATATAATAATGGCTAATAAAAATCTGGGAAAACACAAACCTATCAGAACCAAACTTGTTTTGAACCAAACTGTGATTATCTATAAGCTTTCTCCAGAACACAGTTTTATATTATAAAGAGAAAAAAACTCAGAATTATTCAAAAAGCTGCAATGGATAATACTGTCCTATAATATACAACAGTACCTCAACAAAGCAGAAAACAACAACCAAAACCTTAGAGGTCAAAGTAGACTATCCACTACCTTCATAACATGAAGAAGTTATCAGACTGCTTTGGACAGACGTGACAATTTTTAACGTGAGATTTTTCTGTTCTTCGAGTTATTTCATTAATATTGATAAGGCTTAGCTATCAGTTTTTTTATGCTTCTAAAGCATATTTGTATATATCACTTCACTAAGGAATCTTTGTTCTTAATAATTTAGTCATGACAGCACAGCTCTTCTTTTAAATTCTCTATTCATCTCTGCAAATTTTCTTCTGCATTCAAACTTCGCACTGAATCTATTTGATAATTTCAACTCCCTTAAACAACAGATGGCTTTTAAAATCCCAAAAGAAAACTATGCAAACAATACACAAAGTAATACCCAGCAGACACAGAGAACTGTTTCTCTCTGTTTCCTCAAAATTATTGTTTACTCAAAATTATTATCCAAGGGTCATATCCCAGTCTAGGTCAAATACATCTGCATTGTAAGAAATTGAACAGAATTTTCAAAAACTTAAAGGACAAATCATTTATATCCATCATATAAATTCAAGGACCTATAAGAAAATTAGACATGACTACCAATTTAAAGGAGAATCAAAGTCATTAAATCCTTTTCGTCTATCAAGTTCTTAAAAAAAATAAATTGTATGCTCAAAAAAGACATTCTCCACTACAGATAAGCTTGAGGAAATAAGTAAATTTATTTATTATCCACACAGTGGGCCAAATTGAAAAGGTAAATACTAAGCAGTTTCATCTTGTGACAAGGAAAAAAAACAGAGATTAACACAAGCTAAAGTTAGAAAAATCTGTAACAATATCTAAAATGAACTATGAAAATTCTTACCTCTATATTCTGTCCTTTGCCTAGAAGACAATGCTTATGATCAAGCAATCATCTGCCTCAAACCTTCTGCCATCCAAAACCATGGCCCCCACACCTTTTTAAAATCAAAGTAACTATACTTTAACTTGCTTTATACCAGACTTTTGCAGAAGAGTTCTTTCGAAGAAAATGAATCTGCAGCTATAAAATAGTTTCAAAACTACCTTAGATATTCTAGAAATTATGGAAAGATCTGATCAGACATCAAAAAGCTGTGAATTCTGAACATCATTTTGTTCTCTCCCTCCCCATGCATCATCCCTTCCCCACACCCGCAACTCTCACTGAGCTAAATCCACCTGGCACCTGGGTGGCTCAGTCAGTTAAGTGTCTGCCTTGGGCTCAGGTCATGATCCCAGAGTCCTGGGATGGAGCCCCTAGTTGGGCTCCCTACTCGCAGGGAATCTGCTTCTCTTTTTCCCTCTGCACCCCCTGCCCCCTGTAACTGGGAATTTGCTTTTTCTCTAATTTTCTTTATTGCCAAGGCATGGAACAAAACCACTATACATACAATTTCCCTTACAAGAAAGGTGGAATTCACCATAAATGTTGACAGTCTAGATCTAAATTTATAGTTTTAAGTCTTTTTTGAAGTCACAAACCACCTCAAAAAATCTAACAAAAGCTTTGAGTTCTGTCCCTGTAAAAATGCACAAGATACAAAATTCTGCAGACAATTTCAGGTTTGTACAGATTTTCTGATTCCAGTTTTAAAAACCCAATACAGGGATGCCTGGGTGGCTCAGGTAGTTAAGCGTCTGCCTTCGGCTCAGGTCAGGATCCCAGGGTCCTGGGATTGAGTCCCGCATCAGGTTCCCCGCTCAGCAGGCAGTCTGCTTCTTCTCCCTCTGCCTGCCACTCCCCCTGCTTGTGCACACTCACTCTTCCTCCACCCCGACAAATAAATAAAATCTTAAAAACAAAAAAAACTTCTAAGAAAAACCCCAATACAATTAAGGAATCCTGGTCCATTGTTTTAGATGTTATTATGGTACTACAGTTTTCTTTAAAAAATATACAGAAATACAGTTAAAAATGATATCATATTTGGAATCTGCTTCAAAATAACTATGGGGATAGATGAAACACAATTGGCTTTGAGTTAGTAATTACCAAAGCTAGGTGACGGGGCCTTGGGAGTTCATTATATTATTCTCTCTATATTTACAGGTTTGAAATTTTCCAAAATAACACGTGTGTGTGTGTGTGTGTGTGTATATGTATATATATACATACATACATACTTGGGTGTGTTTGTATGTGTTTATAGCTATCCACAAAAAGACTACTAAAGAAATTACACCATTAAAATAGTTGGTTTCAATGTAGCCAGATCACTAGGGCTCAGGATTCTGCTCTCTGAAAAATCCTTTCCAGCCTACTAGACCACACCTGGTAAACACAGGGTTGTACGCTCAACAACACAACCTGGTAATCCATCAGTCACACCTTGTCTTCATTAACACTGTGGGCGTAAGTTCTTCCCTTCAGAGGCACACAACCTGTGTATCCTGCATTGAGCCTCCCAGGGTGCTGAATAACTGTCACTGAAGGAACAACAAAACTGTGCCACATAATCTATCAAATAACAAGGGACAAGACTGGGCGCCTGGGTGGCTCAGTCGTTAAGAGTCTGCCTTCGGCTCAAGTCATGATCCCGGGCTCCTGGGATCGAGTCCCACATTGGGCTCCCTGCTCGGAGGGAGGCCTGCTTCTCCCTCTCCCACTCTCCCTGCTTGTGTTCCCTCTCTCGCTGTCTCTCTGTCTGTCAAATAACTAAATAAAATCTAAAAAAAAAAGAGAGACAAGACTTTAAATTCAGGACCCACAAAAGTGTTCTGGAAAAACAGGAACTTCATGTTCATTATATTTACCTTGCATCCCAACAACAGTTTGCTAATGTACCATGCTCAATAAACCATGAACTTTAAGGAAAAAAGTTAGTTTCATATTTAAAATAATAATAAAGGGCGCCTGGGTGGCTCAGTTGGTTAAGCGACTGCCTTCGGCTCAGGTCATGATCCTGGAGTCCCGGGATCGAGTCCCGCATCGGGCTC